GTGATAAGCCATCGGGGGCCCCCAGAGGTTGCGCCGTGCTCTCGAGGCGACAGTGATTTTTATCGGAGGTTCGAGCGGAAAAAGCGTCGTTATTTCCTCCTCTGTCTCTCTCTCTCTCTCTCTCTTTTCTCTCCCTCTCTGTCTCGTTATCGTCTCTGGCCGCTTCCTAATCCGGTTTTGCGAAACAGGAATCGCGTCATCAAGAAAAAGCGTTTAGAACCTTTAGCGATCATCGTCGCTCTCTTCTCCCACCCGAATCCGCCGAGGACACGTTGCTTCCCCTGTCCCTTTTTTCGTCCGTTACTTAATTTAGAGCCGTGTCGGGTTACCCATTCGTTAGCCGCCGCAGTTTAATACGATTTAGCCGATGTAATGCAACAAGCCCGGTGTGCAATACACTTCGACGTGAGTCCATCTAGTTCGAAGCTAATTCGACGGGAGTCTATTCGTCCGCGTGTCCTGCGAATCGTAATGTTCAAACCGAACAAAAACAATATTATTCCACTGGCTAGATGTCGCGAATATTTCCAATTTTTTCTTATAATTCTTGCTGAACATTAAGATTCTTGATATTGTTTCAAGGGTGTTTCTCGAGATTCTGTGGTGCAATTAGGCTGATCGTGTCGTTTGATTATGGAGAATGAACATTTTCAGTGAATATTCTCTTCATTTATTCGACGGTGTAGATTAATTATTAAGCCATTTTAGATTATCTCGAAAGTTTCGTAACTCTTATTAACATGTTAAGCGTCGAAAATTAGCCACAAAAAAGTTCCCAGAGAATCTAGCCAAATTTTAATGAATTTGATCAATCGGAAATCATCATTTCGTAATCAAAATAAAATCGATACATCGTAGATCTTCCAAATGCACGAACGTGGGTTCGTATCGTAGTCATATTTTCGAAGATTTTGACTTAGGGTAGCGAAGCCGGTTAGTGTGGGGTCATCAATTGCTGCGCCATTGGTTTGTATATGTTTATTGAATAATTTACTTTATACTTATCAAGTGACGCAGTCTTTATTAAAAGAATAACAAAATTTAATATGTCTTATTAGATAAATGTAATCTTAATTATGCCCGAAAAGAATGTAATTAAAAAATGAAGCAAACTTAAAATGTGATCTATACGTGCCAAAATGTTAAAAAGACAAGTGACATAAATGATAAAGTTACTATAAATTGACTTAACTCCAAGCTATCTTAAACAAGAAACAGTACACGTATTACCAAATAATGACACCCCTTGTTCCTCGCAATGGTGAAAATGTGACTTTAATGCCGCTTTAATTCTAGCCCATTCGTATATTCGGTTTAACAAACAGAGGTGTTGTTCGTGCGATCCATTTATTCCGAAATTTGTTAATTATGTTCAGCGGTTGTTGTTCCGCCGGATCAGCATTTCGCCGGAAAGTGCGTCGTGGGAATCGGGCTCTGGAAAAAGTTATTAGATTACCGCGTCGCTTATTACGCCGACGCGACGCGACGCGACGGTGCGGTTGGTCGGTTGTGTCGTTATCTTTATCCGTGCAGAGCGCACCTGCCGCCGCGTACCGTTCACACACATGTGTATTCGCTGCACTCTCGCATGCAGAATGCGCGACGATAAGTGCGTGTCTCTTGCGCGGGCCAGATAAACGGGAGAGCCGCGCGGAGCATAGTGATTTTTCGCACGCTACTCGACGTTCGACCGTCTATTCTTCTGGTCCGCGAAAGACAATGACGCGACGTCACGATTCTGCATGTTTTCACCTGTTCCCTCGGGCACTCGATGTTATTTGTTTTCACTCCCCTATGGCTCGGTGTAACATTTCTACTTATCGTGTTTCCTTTTCGGCCTAAATTCATTTCTAAACCAGAACGTTATAGAAATATCATGGTTTCTTTTGTTTACTTCAACATCGAAGAGATTATGCATCACGATTTTCAACTTTCACTTCACGCATCAGAGAAAATTCTGCCGCTTTAAATTTGCTAATTTGTTAATTTATATGCAACGATTAATACGTATTTCCTGGTTACGGGTTACACGCATTCAAAATTTAGACTCCAGAGTTCGATGGTAGTTCGAAGTAGTTTAATGAAATTTTCAATTTAATTAAATTGTTGATGGAAATAACTGGAAGAATTAATCGTCTTAATCGATTGATGAAATTGACCATCAATCGTCGATTGAAAGAGATAATTAATAATTGTTGATTTTTTAATGGAATTGAAAGGATATCTTGATGTAATTTCGTTAAGAATTGTCCGTATAGTGCCTGTCATTTATCACTTATCATCTTGTTTGTTTTCATTCTTATTAAATTAAATCCCTACTTTAGTCGTCAATCGCGACCAACAATTGAAAGTTTGATCGTTAATTGCGATTAATGACTAACAACAGTAATTAAATCGTTAATTGTCGATTCATTTTTTGCCAGACTCTGTACCCTTGTCGCAGATATGTGACGTTTGCGATCACGTACTTCTTATGGAAATCGTAAAATTACCGTTATCTTCCACTTACGTTTCCACCTGATCCTTCGAGCACTCGATATACTTCATAACGCTGTCACACACGTTCGGTGCCGACGTCATAAGTGTGTGACGTTCGCGATTCCGTATTTCGTATGGAACTGGTAGATTTCATTTTATGCATGTTGGTATGCATAATCAAGGTTTTAATATTTTATAAACGATGCACACGCTGTTTTCAATTAAATATATATGAATAATGCAGGTAGACGACGGAAATGTCAATTTAGCAATGAACGTGTTAAGCCGAAAAGACCTTCACTCTAGCTAATGAACTGATTAAAAGACAACGGTAAGCTTTATCCAACTCGCCCACTCCTGATAACGATTTTACTTTATTTTTTCCATTGAGAGCATAGTAATCATCACAAATTAAAAAAAAAATGTTGTTCACTCATTCTCTCTAGCGAATTAATCGATCTAACATCTTAAAGATATTCAAAACATTTGGTTCAACATTAATGAAGCTATTACTATACTGCGGATTTTATGTGCTTCTGACAAAATTGGGTGGTTGCAATTTAAAATAGAAGAAAGATCAAAAGAGAATTTAAAAATGTCAATGGCTTATTTTTAATCTATTAAAGTGATTAAAAGCAAAAAAATGCGCATACTATTTAGTTTCTATTTGTTATAACTAATGCAGACGATTTTATTTTGCACAAAATTCCGCAGTCTAGTTACTACTTAGATTCTAGACAGTGGATTTTATGTGTTCACGATAAGAACGACTAGGAAAAAATAGCACGTTAGAAAAACGTAATAACATTGCTCGTCAGAGTGACGCATTCCGTAACCCGTAGTGTTAATAACAAAACCGATTTCATTAATCTCTAAGCAACAAATGCGCACCCGCGTCCGCAAACATCGTCGCGCCAAAGATCAATTTTGCAATAAAAATCGCGGCCGTGAAAGTGTTAACCTTTCGGCGCAGCGTCTAAAGGCCACTGTAATGGCACGTCAAGACACTGTTGAAATGTTATATTATTGCATAACAACGCTCGCGTATCGTTGCACGATCGATCGAAAGTTCCGCGGCGAGATACTCTCGAAAACTTTCAACGCGTCGATTCATCGGCGATCGATTTCCCTGTTAAAATCTTCCAGTCGGTCGGCTCGATTTTACAACCTGTCGTGCCAGCGAAACTATTCGCCGGCTCTGTTGTAACGAAAGAGTTCACGCGTGCATTGCCAGAGCGTCACGCATTCGTGACATCGTGACGTAAAGGCGCGGGTAAATAAAATTTTACGCGCGTGTTATTTATGCGGCGCTCGGAAAATCAATGAGATTTTTTCGCCGCATTTTTTTCTTCTTCCGTTCCTCGTCTTATCACGGCGGATCTGCGCGCGTTCATAACACGTAATCAAATCTGAAATACGTCGAATCGATTTAATTTTGACGTGCATCATATTTTTTTCCGGATAACGATTATACTAAACGCTATAAACGTCGAAAGAAACTCGGAATAATGCAGCTTTCAATTTACCACGACTAATAAGAAGCGGCTTTCTGTTCGACTTCCGTTCCGGGAAATTAGCGAGACAAATTTTTATTTTGCATACAGATCCGCATTCTATCGATACATATCTGACGTTGCAGTCGTGCTAGAGTTCATAGTCTATGTTTCATAGAACCAGCAATCTATAGAAACTTTTTGAGGTCAATAACACGTAGAAAAGATTAAGAACAATTTATAAATAGCGACGAACGTGACACTCGTCCATCAGTTTACGCGAATTTCCGTTCCACGTGGATGTGTTTTACGCGAATGAAAATCGCGTAAATAAAGTCTGTAAGTACAATAAAAAAAATATTGCAAATAAAAGCTAGTATAAGTTTTCGAAATACATATTTATTTCGCATAGCTTAACATAAAGATAATTATGATCTTTCAGGAAACAAAAATGAACTATACTCGTTGTCCTAACGTTACTGTAATTTAAAGCAATGTTATTGTATGTTAATGTAAATTTTTCCGGATGATTTTTTCTCAATACTTTCTTTGACTAAGTTCACTATTTGCATATACGATTTGTGAGTTGTTTAAACAACTGAAACAAATAATAAGTAAACAATCCATAGTTATCGTATACCATATGATAGATTTAGACAAAAGAAGTAACTTTTGTTTATATTCAAGTTATAACAATAAAATAAAACGTAGCCGAATATTTGGGGGTTAATTTGCACCCCATCAAGTGAATTTGCGAAAACAAAAATTGCATAAATAATAAATAATAGTAATAAAAATTGCATTGTAAAATCTACACATGCTCCACACGTCCCCAAAGTTTCAGGATATTTTTAATTTCTGGGTTGGGATCGTCCCTCTCGTCTGTTAGTTTTATGTGACGAATCACTCTTCTCGCGTTGTACCGCGATTTTTCAACAAGCGTGTTGTGGTTAAACAAACCTCGTGCACTGCCTCTATTACAAATGGATCTTGGACCACGCAGCTCACACAATTGCATTTCTATTGCAGCGTTACAGGTGCGCGGAGGACTGGGAAAGTAGCTCGAGGTAAACTAAAGCGACCTAAGAAGAAGAAGATCGGTGCGTTGAAGGTCGACAGAGGGTGGTGCCGTTGGTCTTCGGAATTGGCATTTGCAAATGGGCGAGCAACTGTTATCCTTCGGGGACGCGTAATCGGCGGAACCGAGAGCGAACGGAGATATTCGGCGTCGAGAGCGGACGGGAGAGAAAAGAAGGTGGTCGGGAGAGAAGCCGATCCTCGGAATCAGTGATCGAAATCACGATCGAGAAAGGATCCAGCGGATGCCCAGGCATCTGCCGAGCGACGCCGACGAAGCGGTGGCGAGGTGAAAGGCAGAGGCAGTCGGCGAAGTACGTGCGATGCGAGCGTTGTCCGCTCGTACGTGAATCCGCGGTACACACGTGACATTTTTACGATGCCACGCTGACAAGGTTCGGGGGATCAGCCGTGTGACGATCGTTAGCCGTGTGTGTCCCAAGCACGATCTTCGCTGGTATTTAAGAGAGATTTCTACCGCTCCGAGCTGCTCTGCTGCTGCTTGTTGCTGCACTCGCTCGCCACTCTGCACCTCGCGCAACGCGGTTATATTTAACCGGTAATTTTCAAATGTAAAATGCTGCTCCCGCGATTCATACACCAGACACTTCACAATGAGTCGCGTCGCTTCCCTGTCCCATCGTTGGTCGCGAAAACATTCTGCAAAACCGGTGCTTTGTTTTCAACCGTTGGACGACTGAAGGTTTAGTGGTCGGACGAAAGCCGAAACCGGGCCATGTCTCAGCCAAAACAAAATTTCTTTATTTATGCATCAAGAAATCAATTTTTCGTCGGATTTATATTTCAGTTTACTAGGTTACATGTTTTCAGTAACATTATTCTTAAAAAAAAAGAAAAAAAACCGGTATTTAATGTAGCGATTGGGTGACAAGAAAGCAACAGATACGCTAATTCGATGTGACTATTCTTAGATGTAACTACTTCCTCTCTTTACACAATGCCTCTTAAATTGACTTTTCTTCTTGCTAATTCTATCAACGGCAGACTCGGTCATTGATAAGTAGACTGCAGATTTCATGCATTTTTGTGAGACATAAGGAGATATTGTAAGGACATAAGAAAAATTGTCAACTCAAGAAAATGATTAAAAGAGACAATTTATTTTTATTTCATTTCTGTTTCGTCCTGGAAAATGTATGTTTAGCACAAAGAGATCCGCAGTCTAATCATAAGCCTTATAAGTCAGGTGAACGACTCGGGTTAGAATAAACGCAGCCTAGTCGGCCTACGGTTGAAACCGAAAACTCGGGAACAGAAAGGTACCATTTTTATAGGAGGTTGTAGTGCGTACCTCGAAGAAGGTTTCCTGAAAGTTTCATTGAAAATCATTGACATTTGTGCACGAGGTAGAGTTCTTTCGCTTCAGCAGTGACTGTGCTCATGAATATGAATAGTTCTTAATGAAACCTCCAAGGAAGTTGCAGATGTTTTATAGAAAGTTCAATGACAGAAAAAGAAAGTTTAATGTACATCTGACACATTGTCGACGCTGAGAACGAGCAACGCGACACATTGAGAAACGTTCAATGCACTGATCGCGATGAAACTTTGTGGAAAGATCACGAGCGAACACTGCACATCGCCCAAAATAGCCCGTTGTCTATCAAGCTTAAATGTCCAGTCAGTGAACCTGTTAATTACCGGCTGTCATCATCCCGCCAGGCCATAAACAGTCTCGAAGAGACCAATCGACGGTCCCCAATTACCCAGCAGGGACCAAACTAGAGTACCCACTGTTGAACGTCTCATGAACGATTCATTCCTCCACCTGCTACAGTCTAAAAGCCGGTCCGCCCTTTAGCAAAGTTTCACGAAAATCGATAGACGCGGCGAGCACAAACGCAATCGTCTGATTACAGGTCAAAATCCGAAGCGACCCCATGAAGCCGGTTGAGGAAGGGTCGCAAGCCGAACCGAAGATCCACGAGGTGTAAAAAGAGCCGGAATCCTGAGTGAATCCGTGGGAAGGAAGCGGCTCTGGGTGCCGATCGTATCTCGAAGCCAGGCGACCGAGACCGAAGAACGTAACCATCCCCAACTGCGCGGCAAGCTGAAGTGTTAAGGATCGGCTGCTGGCGCTCGAGGCCAACGAACCCGGAGTGAAAAGGTTCTTAACGAGGTGTCCAAGACGAAACGACGTCGGTCGAGCCTGGACCGGACGTCCTCGAATCTCGTACGCCTCGAGTCGATTCGATCGGAGCGGACAGCCTGTCGACGTCCTTCCCATTGTCCTTGGTCCTCGGCGAAGGGGGACCGATCGGCCCTAGTGGTGTCCTGGGGCCGCAGATGGGAGCTGGTCTGCCGCAGCCCGACAGGGTGGTCAACCCCGGAAAACGACACCAGCCGAACGGACTTCTTCCGCTCGAGGCGATTATTGCTGACGCTGCCCCCCTCTGCCGACGACAACACACGCCGCCAGGCTTCTCCCTCCCGTTTCGGCCGCGTAAACCCGATCAAGCTGGAATTGATGGAGTTGGAGAACATCGTGGCGAACACTGTGTACCTGAAAGCGAGAGAAGGTGAGTCCCTTCTGGCTCCAAGAATGATAATAATTTAGACTGCGGATGTTTGTGCAACATAAACATTGTATGCGTTAGTTGCAAGAAATAGAAATTAAATAGCAAGTTTATTTATTTTTTTTTTAATCGCTACAACCCTTATGTCAACAATCGGGAACCCTTTTGCACATTCGCTTCAAAATGTTTCTTGTAAAATATTTTAATATGCGGCTACATCTTTGTTATCTGGCATGTTTTCTATCGATATTTGTCTCGAGTCTGCAATTTTGTTATCACAAAAGTAGTAACATTGGACATTTGTTCAATAAGCACGGTACCCGTGTACGTTTATAGGGAAAATAGAGTTGGGAGTAGATAGGAGGGGGTAGAAATTCTTCAGGCAATTAATGAAAATAATATTTTATTGCGGTAATAAATATAAAGAAATAAAATGGTACCGCAATGTAAAAGCTCATCATAGGGATATCCGAGTACACCAATTATAGAACAACGTCGACAATTTTAGTTATTGACATAAGGGTTGTTAGATTATAAATAATACGTTCACATCTTTCAATTCTTTTCGTCTTTCCTCTGCTTTAAATTGCAGCCACTCAATTTTGTCGTAAATGCATAAAATCCACAGTCTAATAATAATTCGTTATTGTACGTAATAGATTGTTGGAAATGAAATGGTGGTTTCATTCTTTACGCTGATTCGAATTACGAGCAAATATTAAGTAGCCAACTAATCTTTTTCTTATAAAAAAAATTATCGGATTGAAGAATCCGTACCTAATTCTCTCCAACTTCATGTACACAAAGTGCAGTAAAAATTTCGGTTCGAAGGATATCACAATCTAAAATAGTCAGACTGAATCTAAAAAGAATAAAATTGTTAGAATACATTGTGTTTCTAAAATTTGCACGTGAAAGTTGTATATCTGTTATCCGAATATAAAATAGTGAGACCGAAACTAAAGAGAACAAAATGATCAGTAATAGAAGGTACCAGGAACGTCCAAAAATACAATGCATAAAAACTAAGTTAGACATGCAGTCTCTGCTAGAGTTGTTCGATTCATCGATAGTATAAATCAGCATCGACAGTTGTATTTGGATTGGGTAGCTCGCTGAAAGACTGTTTACACGGAGGAAACGGCGAACAGAAGTTGCTCAACGACCTAATAATAGTCAACAAGCTTCTTTTTTTAAATACTCCAGCCATAACTCCTGCTTTATCTGGTCAACAAATTCGTCCATTCGCAATGGTAAAGCTTCGCGTGACGTCGCGTTACCGTTGGGAATGGAGCAACATTTTCTCTGAACGTCGGCAATGGCGTTCTCAGGTGTCTCGTCCCATATCGTGATTACATAATTTCTTTGCAACATTATTGTCATTCATTCTCGTACCCACTTAACACGTGCAATGAAAAAATTACCATTAATACGCTAGAAAATCACCAGCTGCAATGAAAACTCGCTGTCCAAGAAATGGGTGAACATTCGTAAAGCACAATTTTAATCTCAATGATTTTTAAACATTTACTAACTGGGAAAATATTTTCAATGAGAATTTTATCACTTTTCTCATTGAAAACTTTTCGATAACAACGAATTACCAAGCAATACTTTCGCAAGGCTGTTCAGGACGATGCAGTGTTGCGATTAATAATACGCGAAAATCAATATATGTAAAAATATATACATTTTTTATTATTTTCATGCATATTGAAAATTCGTCTGGTGAAAACAGCATTTCATCCAGTGAAAAAGAACTTACTTCTACAAATGATGATTTACAATACATTTGATTTTAATTCAATTTAATTTAATATCATTTTATTTTATCTTATTTCATTATTTCTCAGTCAGTATTAATATATCTTTATCGTAAAAAACTATTTTGTTAATCAATTGTTAATAAACATGGCGCGCATGAAACAATAAGTATATTCATTTGTTACGCTAAAGCTACAAAGACACGTGACAAAGGCTACATAGACATAAAAGGAGAGTTCTGTCCAGTTGATACGTCGAATCGCAACACTGTCACGTTGGAAAATCATCGGGATCAGAGGGTGGCAACTTAGTAAATAATGATCAAAGGGCCGAGAATAATTGCACGCGAACATTTTGCAAAAAAGCTCAGGGAATTCGTTGAACGAGCAACATTGCGAAACAACCTTTGATCAACAAGTTCCGTGACCGCCTCCCCGGATCCCTCATTTGCGACACCCACCCACGCCGTGCGAATTGTGGGAATTCCGTGGAAATTGTGCGCAATAATTACGCAAATGATGTCTCGTCCCAGCGTTTTGTCTAGGTCTAGATAAATCTCGTGAAACGTTTCCCGTCTCCACACGTGTTCGTAATCTTCATTGGGCTTTTCCCGAAGGACGTCCACTCGATCGCCACACAGGCAAAAACTGGAAAATAATCTCGTTTTAATACGTCCGCGCGCAACCCCAAGAACTTCAGCTTCGTGCGCGTGGAGTGACACTTTTCGATACTAAACCCGTAAGCTGGAGCACTTTTAACACGTTCTCGGGGTCAAGAGCACTTAAATCTTGGTCGAGGGAGCGAGGTCTCCGAGAAACGTCTAAATTTAGCTGTTCTTCTAGTCAATGGGAATCGACGGTTTCATTGACAAAAGGGGAGCCGTGTTCTGTAACGTGCTGTCGCTCTAATTCCTGTCTTTTAATATTTAATCCTTTTTCTTTTCCCTTTTCCGTAATGTTCAGCGTCGCATCGACTTCATCATCATTAGCGATTCATCGATTACTTGTTGCTTGCAGGTTTAAATAAGAGACATAAATAATTAATTACTATTTATATAACTCGTTAGAAATTATTTGGAATAATAACATTCATTTCTTATTTATAAATACAATTTCAATTGTTACTTATTCATTGTCATTTAATTGCCTGTTATTTATTATTTATCCGATACAACGCGGCGACGGCAGGTTGTAGTCAGGAAATAATGTTCTTCGATAATAATAAATGGAAATTAATATTTATTACATGATAAATAAAAATGAAGCAATTACTTATTATTTGCTTTCCACTTAAATTCCAGTAAAAAAATAATGTTTTTTGATGAGAGATGGTACATTAATTAAACCTTCTCTATAATCATTGGAAATTTTTATTCCTAAACGAATCTACCACGGATTTGAAAATTGACGCATCCTCTTTGCAACGACCTCTTAAAACTCGATCTACGATTTTTTTAAAAGCCGTTTTACGACATCCGAACGATAGGTATACCGCTAACAATACACTGCCATTACGCACACCGTAGGAACTTACTTGTTCCCCATTTATGCTTCATAAAACACCGAAGAAAAATCGTGAAGCAAGTTTCACGTAGTCGTTGAAAAGAGGAAACTTCGATCTTCAAATCCATGCTGCATTCAATCGCCAGGAGAAATGTCCAACGATTCTAGAGACATTTCAATGTGCGCCATGTCCGAGCAAATACCTAATTTTTAAAGGAACGAATGTTTTAACATCTTCCGGAAATCCTGCACAGAGCTCCTATTCGCTGAAAGGTTAAAAAGAAGTCAAAGGACCGGCACTAATTATACATTTATTTTATTTATTTACGACAACGTCGCCGTAAAAGATCAGTCCTCTGCAACGACCAAACAGAATCAAAGATTTATGTTACGCGTCGGCCGTTAAGGGTTAAACTTTAATGGTGCATTCTGCTCTAATGATTCTCGCCGTTTATAGCGCGTCAAGTAATAGCAAACCGGCGGGATGCAAGGCATCCGGCACTGGTACAATGCAGAATTGATTGTTGCCGGTGCGCTCGTAACTATGGCCGCTGGAAACGGCAAGAATCAGCTCGCGTCCCGCGCGGAATTAAATACTCGCGAGTAAAGACATCGCGTAAAAAGAGACTACCGGTCGTATCGCCGTCTTCTGCTCGTATCCTAATTGATATATTGGACAGCCGGATTGAAATACCGCCATTCGCTGCGGCGCCTCAAAGCGCGGACAAGCGATCCTTCCCGGATACACCTCGCTTTTCCTCCCCGTGACATTTATCGTCCCGACTATTTCCTCGCAATTAGCCGACGCACGGATTACGAATATACGGGTCCGTTTTACGAGCCACGATGGGAACACGTGTCCTTGCGCTGTCTGCGACGCGTTTTTCAAACGAACCCGCCGCCGCACAGTGGTCTGGGAATTCACTTTCTGCTACTGAAATTATTTTAGCTTTGTTTCAAGGTTTAAGGTTACAGCACAGTAGGTCATTGAATTCGTCCCGGCACCGGCTAGAATATTATCGAGTCGAAAATACGCATTAACGTTTAACATTAACTCGAGCTGATCGGCGTTTTTTATAGAAAAATTGTTTCATACGAAAATTCTTGCAAAGTGTTTTTACAATTTTCGTATAAAATTTCCTTATCAAATTTTCGTATAAATTTTCTTATGAAACTTTCTTATCAGATTTTCTTGCGGGATTTTCTAACTTCTCGAAGCCATCGTTAAATATCTAATAGCGTGTGAAACAGCTTCCGTTGCGCGGATTACTCGCTGAAATTAGTCCGCATTGAAATTGCTGAAATTACGTTTTTACGGTTGCTTTGGCACAAAGCTGTGATTATTTCTCTTAAAACAGGTTCCGAACAATTACTTCAGCAATATCTCGTGAACATTCGCGCACCGAGGTCGTGATTAGAGAAAATCGATGGGGAAAAACAACTGATTCACTCCTGATAATTGCTTCGGTATTCCTGCGAACGCCTTCGAAACTTTTTTTGCATAATGATCAGTCGCTTTTCTGAAGTCTGTCCGGCACTAGAAATTGCACAACCTGCCGACGGTAACACAATGAGTGACACGCGAAGTTGTAACTTCAAAATTAAGTTCCGCGAGACATAATAGCTGCTATAAACAATTGAAAAATTAACCGGACGTTGATCAAAGTAATTCTTTCATGATAAATGTGGTTCAAGAATAAATCTCGAGATCTGATAGAGATAGTCGTATCTCTGCGG